AAATGATGCTACTCTGACAACTGTTTATAAAAATACAATACGAAAAATGCATCTGTCTATGGCACAGTGGGTAAAGGCTTTTGCTAGATCCAGTGACAGGATCCAAAGAGTATGAGTTCAATACCTGGTTAAGGCGGTAGAGAACTTGGAAAGGGGAATTAACAGGAGATAACTGACATCCATTAGACATGGCGCATGGAATTAGAACAGTCTACCCTAGTGAGCGAAATAAAGGGTTCAGTTCGACATTGCAACCACCTGAAGAAGGCTGGAGCGTACAACAGCCGAAACGCTGTAATAAATATGACGACAAAATGAGGACAATAGTCAGAATGATGTAAATACTGTACGAAAAAAGCATTTTCTTATGTAATTAAGAGTGGGGAATATATTATGCACAAATAAGTTAAATGAACATTTAAGAAAGAAAGAAAGAAACAAACAAACAAAGAAAGAAAGATAAAAATGGTAATGGATGATATAAAAGAAGTATGAAAGATCTAAAAGAAAGAAAGAAAGAAAGAAAGAACGGTAAAGGATGATGTAAAAAGTATAAATAACTTGAAAGAAAGATGCAAAGAAAGAAAGCAAGAACGAAAGAAAGAAAAGTTGTTATGTAAAGATTAAAATGAAAAGAAAGATGTGGAAATTAATCTCTAAAAAAGGGGAAAAGAAAGAAAGAAAAATTTTAAAGAAAAGATTGAAATGAAAATAAAAAAATGGAAATAAATTCTAAAGAAAGACAAAAGAAATAAAGATAGAAAGAAAAGCTGTAAAGTGAAGATTAAAATGAAAAGAAAGAAATGAAAATTAAACCTTAAAAAGGGTAAAAAAAAGAGAAAGCTTAAAGAGAAGATTGAAATGAAAAAGAAAAAATGGAAATGAAACACTAAAAAAGGAAAGAAAGAAAGAAAAAAAGAAAGAAAGAAAGAAAAAAAAGAAAGAAAGAAATGTATGTAAAGAAGAAACAGAATCTGAAAATAAATATTTCTAAAGGGAGAAAGAAAAAAAAGACAACTGAAAAATAAAATGAAAAGAAAGAAATAGAAATTTAAAAAAATGGAAAGAGCAAAATAAAAAATGGACTCCACGTCATGGCGTAATGGTTATCAACGAGTATAGTACATCCTCAAGTGGTGGCTCACATTCTAGTCATATGCTATACTAAACAGAAGCTTCATAAAAACCGGGATAGACAGATCCATAAATAAATTGACCGACAGTTTTTTTTTTGTTTTTTTTCTGGCAATATTTCTAAATGCTAGTAAGTTAATTCAAGGAGTTCGGTTGATCAATTTGTGATATATATCTGTATATACTAACCATCTCCTTTCCCTATGATCCCAGTTTCAAAGATCCGCCCGATGACCATTAAGGTAATGCGAAGAGAAGCAAGAACACCCAAAGTGGCTGAAGAGATCGCTTGAGATTTTATACTGCAGAGAATCCAATTAAAGCAACGCTAACTAAACTGAACGCCATCTTTTACCGCCATCGTCGGTCTCAGAGTGTCATGGTGTCGACTCTGAGACGCCAATCTTGGATTTAATCAACAGGAAATGTGCTCATACCATTTTTTTTTTATACATACACACACACACACACACATATATATATATATATATATATATATATATATATATATATATATATATATATATATATGATACTGCAAAAGCGTCCACCGTCTAGGCAGTTGAGTATCATCTTTCTGCTAGAAATAATTGCTTTGACGATTCTTGGATGATATAATAATGTCAAAACTTCAGAAGTGAATCCTAAATTACTTTTCGACCTTTAGCAGAAAAAAAATTGTATGCACGGATAGTGTAATGCATACTTTCTGTAAATGAGAAATCAGATAACCTAGTTCTTATTCCAGCCGGATTCGTTACATTTAATTAAGCGTAAATACTCTTGGTAAAGGTATAAATCCATGACCCCCCCAGCTATGGGTTAGATAGTAGGACTAGTATCTAGAAAATCTTTTATTTTTTTATAATTTGCTAATCGAATATTCAATCGCAAAAATGAAATTGTTCTTAAAATCCAAAATATTTTTCAGCTGTAAAAACACCTACAATGGGCTGAGAAGCGGTGTGGTAATAAAATAGACACATCCCATCTCCCCTCTCGCTTGTAACCACCCATCACAATAAAATAAACGTTTTTCATCGCTGAAGCTGAATTACTCAAATAAAGCTTCATAAGCTTCTACTTTTTTTTAAAAAACTTTTTTTTACTATATTACAAATCATAAAATCAATTATCTCAAAAACAAAACGAAAATACATTAAAAGCAAAAGCTATAATTCAACCAACAAACATTTTCCCTTAAAATCATTCGAATATTGAACTCACAACCCTTTGGGTCCTTGGAATTTCGAACTGAATCCTCAATGACACATGGCACAGTGGATAAAGGCGTTGGTTAGATCCAGTGACAGGACCCAAAGAGTGTGAGTTCAATACCCGGTTAAGGCAGTGGAGAACTTTCAAAGGGATAATTAGCAGGAGATAACTGATAACTGACATCCATCAAACATGGCATGTGGAACTAGAACAGTCTACCCCAGTGAGCGAAATAAAGGGTTCAGTTCGAAATTCCAACCATCTGAAGAAGGCCGGAGCGTACAACGGCCGAAACGCTGTGATAAATATGGCGACAAAGATGAGGACAATAGTCCGAATAATATAAATAATGGTCAGAATTTTACCTTCAAACCTTGTGCAACGTGTATCCATTCGCTTTACTGTAAGCCGACGAACAAAACCATTTAAATTTTTCCCTTGCGTTATAAACTAGTGAAACACATTTTGGTATCTCGTCAATGGAATGAAAAGCCAAATTTTAAATCAATACTGTGTCACTTTCTTACAAGCTTTCTAAATTCTCTGACTTATTCACTTCTCATCCTTAAACAATTATTTATGCCCAAAAGCAAAAAAAAAAATAAATGAGTTTCGAAAATAAATATTCCAGTTCTCCCTGGTAAAGTAAAGTTTTAAAATATCACGAATCTCTCAAGGATATAGTCCCAAAAGTAGCCAATGGCAATCTCGGATGATCCTTAAGGTATTTCAAAGTATAGGAAATTTCAAGAGATTCGAGAGCGTATCAAATTAATTTTGTAGAGTGGGAATTAACAATCGTATAATCTATGTACTATAAACACTTGATAAAATTTAAGCCATTAATATCTACCGAAAAATCCGCTATAATAAAAAATTAAAATAAAGCACTGTTATTAATAAAAATTCCTAAATAAATCCGCTACTATTTCCATATTTATATTTTAACAAATCGGTATTAATTATAGCTTTCGAAAAAAAATTTTATTTAATATAAGCCTCTAAAAAGAATCTAGTATTAATTAAAAGTCTATAAAAATCTTGTATTACTACTTCATTTCTACTTCAAACCCATTAATTATTTATGCGTTTAAACATAAAACCCATTAATTATTTATACGTTTCTACTTAAAACCCTTAAATTACTTATAAGTTTCTACTTAAAACCGATTAATTAAACTGGTCAGCACGATTTTGGTGCCAAGAAACAAACACATTTTTTAGCTAATTTAATGGTACTGATTTCGAAAATGACCTTAGTTTTTCATAGCTACCATTTTTGCTGTACTGAAATTGTTCATTTTTGGAGAAAAAGATGAAAATACGGTCTTGGCTGATCGCAACATTTAGTTAATAATGGTCGTAGAAACCCATCAATTTTCAGGTAGGCTGAGCAATTTATGTCAGCCATTTGAATAAACTATTTTTGTAAGAAAAAAGTGTTTTTGAGTCAAAAATTTTAAAATAGAAGTACCGATTTTTTTCAATTTATCGTCAAAATTGAAATTAACTGATTAACTTTATCAGTAATACACCTTAGTAAACCTGATAATACGGGTGACATCAAGAAATGAATCGCTAAAATCTTCTGTTTGATATTCATAAATTTATCCTATCACTTTTATCCCTTCACTACGGAAGGAAACCAAGCACATTGATAGCATTTTGTTTTCACAGTTGGAAAGAAACTCCAATTAAAGACATCCCAATTGAATGCACCTCTTCCATTGTACATGATTCTGATGAAGAATCAAAAGGGACTTAAATAACATTGAACATGACAATCAAGAGAAAATTTTTACCATAGTTCTTATGTTCCCGAAGGTTTTATTTCTGCTGTTAGTTTATTAAATGATTTGATGAAAATACTTGTTGGTCTTGGAATATTTAATCGTGTTATTTTTAAAGACTCAGGGTCTGATTGCTATTGCAAAAATAGTATTTCTCAATAAGCAGACCAATATTTGTTGGTTTAAATACGAACAAAGAGGTTTCTACGATTTTATTTTGAGAAATATTTCTATCGGTCAATATTATATATACAGAAAACAAATGAAAAAAAATGTACAGCAAAAACGATAGCTAACCAAGAAAAAGTGAGGTCATTTTTAGATTCCGCCCCTTCAAATTAGCTAAAAAAGTTGTTTGGTGTCTCGACACCATTTAATTTTTCTTTTTTGTTGACCAATGTTATTTATAGGTTTCTACTTAAAACCTATTAATTTGAGGCGTGATTTTTTATACTACTGTTTAACTAATACCAGGCTCGAGAGCCACTCAAGATAGAGGGTTTATGAATGAGTACAAGAAGTAAAAGGATGAAGACGTGCATATTATAAAGACATTATAGGCTAGATAATGGTTGACTTGAGGATTGATTCGTTTTTCTACGGCTTATCAACCCTTTGCAAGTTATTTAAAGCCAGAAAATATTTTTTGATTGTAAGATTTTTGTTTTTGAGATAATAATGATTTACTGATACAAGTCTTACTAATTAACCCATGGCTAGGGGGAGAAGAGGGGGCTATTCAAACCGTTCCCAATGATATTTGCGCGTAAGTGAATAGAACGGACCCTACGGGAAATGGAACTCAGCTCTTCAATTAACAATTTTGAGCTGTTATCATTAATCCAAGCTTACAGGATTTCGTATTCCCAAGTGGTCACCTATCTAAGTACTGACCAGACTCGACGTTGCTTAACTTCGGTGATCGCACGTGAACCGGGCTTTCAACGTGACATGTCCATCACTATGCTCCTAACCTCTTCATTTCAATCCTTAACTTGAAGAAGTTAGGAACATAGTGATCGAGGAAGCATCCCTTCGGGTGTCTGTTCCACAAAGTAACTGTTCTGGTAAATGAGCTGTCTAAGTAGAAATTCCTCTTTGCTATGGAATACAGTGGGGATTAATGGATTATTATAAGTCATATAATTTTGTGTTTCACATCTCAAAGACGCTTGGAACAATGAACACCTAAATTTCTGTTATTACTAATTTGACATTGAATCATGTTTTTCGTATAATATTTTTTTAAAACTCCAAAATCTGTCCAGTGTCTAGAAAAGGGTTATTTTTACAAGTTGTGTGATATTAAAAATGCTTTTTTGCTGTTTTTTTTTTTTTTTTGCTTTTATGTTCATAAGGTTACCTCAACTGAATCTTAATATTTATTTTCTTTTCTAATCAGTATAATGTAGATGATGAAAAGAAGATTTCATAGCCTGAAACTAAAGCAATGATCTTTTGCCATACTATGTCTGTTTGTGTCCGTGTGTGTGTGTGTGTGTGTCCGTGTGTGTGTGTGTGTGTGTGTGTATGTCATTGAATGTGAAAGATGAGGAAAATTATTGTTTCTCTGGTGTCCTTACAGTTTTTCTTTTATGAGGACTAAACTAAGAGAAAATCCATAAAGATATTCTAGTGTCTTTACAGTTTTTCAAAGGAAGCCCAAGATATTAATATCAGAGTCAAGACAGCACAACTTACGAGCTTTAGAACCTGTAAATATTATAGAAATACTTTCATCATCAATACAAACAAAACTAAATAGATTCTTATAAATGTTTCATGTCTATCACATTCAATGAAACATATATACAACGACTATTTCTATCCAATTATATATATATATATATATATATAAAAATGTGTGTGTGTGTGTATTTAGGCAGCAATCCTACTTTCATGCACGTTTCATTGCATATGACAGACAAAGTGCATTGATTTATTTTTTAATGCAATTTCTCATGTGATCTTAATAAAAATAATTAATTATTAATTATTTTTATTAAGATTACATGAGAAAGTGCATAAATCAACAAAAAATCAACACTCAATAATATCAACTATCAACATGGACACAATATCTTGACCGTATACATACATACAACAATCTATTTCTTGTTAATAGTTAATACATTTCAACCTTGAAAATGGCCAAATGTATAGCCGAAAGCGATCGGGGGAAAAGAACAACTGGACATTTTTTTATATAATTTACCTACGAAAAGAAAAGAATTGTAAGATTACATGAGAAATTATATAAAAAAACTAAATCAAAGCACACACACACACACACATATATATATATAATTATTATTTATAAAAAAATTATAACATTTTTGTGTGTGTGTGTGTGTGTGTGTGTGTGTGTGTGTGTGTGTGTGTGTGTGTGTGTGTGTGTGTGTGTGTATCTAATTATGTCTGGGTGCTTATGTATTATAATCTGATTGTGTTTTTGTTGTTTTGCGCGTGAGTTTAAGACCACATTCACACACTTTAAAATAAAAAAGGAAAAGAAAGGGAAAAGAAAAAAAATATATATACATGTATTGTCAAATGACCGGATATATTGTAGCGTCTTGTCGAACGTAATTTCAATGAAGAAATGAATTGAATAAACATATATATTTTTTTCTTTTCTCAATAATTTTGTAGTTTTTAAACTTAATAGTGATTAAATTTGAATTTTAAAATTGCCAGTTTTTAATTTTAATATTAAATTTTATCATATAATTTTATAATTATTGGTTAGTATAAATTATTTTTAATATTACACGTATTTTAAAGATCTGAATAGCTATTATAACATGATTTCGTTGTCAAGCTTTTGAATGTTTCTATACTTGATTTCTGATTGGTTATTCTAGCTTTTGTAACAATGTTTCCCCCTAGTGTAGGATCGTTAATTAATCTGAAACTTTTAAAACCATTTATTTTATTTTCAACATCATCACTTGATAAGACACAGAGTGTGTTGAAACAAAATGGCTATTTTTGTAGTGATTTTATAACATACATATGTTATAATTTTTTTATAAATAATAATTATATCTGCTCTACTTTGTATTGAGCACTCTTTTAAGAATAGTAATTGTTGGTTATTGGAATTCATTCCGTATATACCAATTATATACTTGTATATATATATATATATATATATATATATATATATATATACATATATATATATATATATATATATATATATATATATATATATATATATATGTAAAATGTGTATATATATATATATATATATATATATGCAATTTTATACATATATATTATTTATATATTATACATGCGGGTACTTATTTAAAAATTAATCACTTTGTCTGACAACCGTAAACTCACTCACATCAATCCAATTAAATATATATATATATATTATCCTCATCTATAGCACGATAGCTATCGGTGAGTGGTAATATATATGGTTATTAATATATACTTAAAAGCTCTGATGTATTACATCGCGCGCTGTTTTATTAACACCAGCCTATATTTTCGATATTATATATATATATATATATATATATATATATATACATATATGTGTGTGTGTGTGTGCGTGTGCGTGTGTGTGTGTGTGTGTGTGTGTGTGTGTGTGTGTGTGTGTGTGTGTGAAAATATATAGGAAATAGGAAAGAACTCGTTACGTAAATAATCCAAAGTTCTTTAGTATTTTTGTTATTATTTTAAAAAATACTGCTCAATACAAAAGTAGAGCAAAAATATAATTATTTATTTAAAAATATGATTCCAACACGCTACATAAGTGGTCTCATGTTTCAAAACAAGAGCCGAAAAATTCAATATAATTATTTGAATTAAATTGAATTAAAGTAAGCTCTGTTCCATCTTCAAGCGAATTTTTTTTTTTTTTTTGGAATAACTTATTTCTGAAATTTACGTGTTTTAATAGCATATTCATTATTGAAATCAAAATTTTCATGGTAACAGCCAGAGCGATTTTTTAAATAGGAAGGGGTGTTGGGTGTTAATAATTTGTATCAGTATAGAGTTACATTCATAGATGTCAAGTCAGGGTAAGGTGGGGGTGTCTAAATTTAAGCGGGAGATGTTTTCGGCTAGTCTGGTTTACGTGTCTATTGAGATTTATTTATTTTTTTATTTTATTTCTTTCTGAAAGGGTTTTGTGCATATAAAAAAACTGCTGTAACATTTGTTTTTTTGACGACTTCATAAAGGGTTATCTTTTTTGTAGGGTATTTAAACTATGGATTATAAAAATTATTTTATTGTATGTTTGTTTTTATGCTAATTAGTCAATGCAAAAATTTGATGATGTCGGCAAAAAACCGTTAACTCCTGTCTATTGTTTAATAGATTTTTATTATTTAGAAACTTAATAAGGTGCAGTTTCTCATGTAGGCACAAAGGGCATGGGTCATCCCAAGTTTTACAAGTTCTAGTCCTGTTTATAATTTTCCATTTTACTTCAGGTGTCCTATTTATTTCCTTCAAATGCCAAAAGTATTTAGATAGAGAAGTCTGATTTCTTTTATTTATATTGTTGAAAGAGCACATATGCTGCCTCCATCTGGCTTTAAATAAGACACCTAGAGGATTACTATTGAAATGGTTATGATGGTTGAGATGTGTGTCATGAATGAGAGAGGTATTGGTAGAATAATACTAATTTCTAAAGGACTAAATCGAATTCCACTAAATATTTAAAATATCGATATTGTTGCAACTGTGGGAGAGAGGTTGCTGAATGGAAATCAAGTCATCGCCCACAAGACCGCGTAAATGCTTTTGAACTCCATCAAGGCTGGAATGTCAGGCTTAAGCAGCTTCTGTCCAGATATGGCAGACATACTGTATTTTTGGTCTAATCTAATTCTTGTAAAGACAAAGCATAGCAGACGGTGCCAGGTGGAGTAATAGAGTGTACCGGTCGTTTTTCCGACCTCTTGGCAATGTATTCAATTTTAGGGCAGTTTTTGTTTTAGAAAATTACCACCGCACTCGATGAAGAAGCTGGGGTTGATATGATAAATACTGACACCAAAATTTAGATTCATAGCTTTTATTTACTTTTGAGCATTTAGTTTTTAAGATCGTCTGAAAGAAATGTAGAGAAATACTTAATTTCAGCAGGTTTTTGATAAAAAAAAGTTTTAATATTTCAAGAATAAATCTAAATAAAGTTGTTATGTTTTGTATTAGATACATTGAATGAAAAATATATTCAAGCAAGAATTGTAATTATGAATCACCTCAAGCAAAATATGCATCTTTTCACTGTATTCGATAAGTAAAGACTGTGTAAAAAATTGTTATGTTCCAAGTTCCTTGTACCACGATGATGGTCCAAAGTTAGAATCAATGAAAGAATAACACGAACACAGGTATAGAATACAAAGATATATTACAACAGAAATATAATACAAAGAAGTAGAAGTATTAGTAATGACTATCAGATTTGGTTAGAGTGAACTATGTTGTCTCGACAAGTATCACTATTCCAATGTCCTTACAATATGCTCCCAATTATCTCTCCTTGTCTTACAATATCCTGATACCTCTTGAGAGGCGCAGTATTTATAATATCAGGAATAGTCCATTATTATTATGGGTAAGTTCCCATAACAAAAATTTAAAAATTACAAAAAAGGTTATTCAGTGAAAACAAAAAGTCGATGAAAGTGTATATAACACAATAATACTGCTCGGCTCAAATTATTAGACAAAAGGTTTTAAATTTACATTGTTTAGTGAAAATCACGCTAAAACTACGCCACTATATAACATATTACATCGTAATATAGCTAAATTGTTCAGTATAATTTCCCTTTGAAGTAAATCAAGATCTTATTTGATGGCACAATGAATTAATAATAATGTGCATGTGTCATGCATCTTGTCCATATACAATTTGTAAAGATTCAATAAATTTTATAAGGCTCTAAAGCTTTCATTCATCACCGGAA